TATGTGTTAAATGGCAAATCGCTCACGTGACATATTATAAGCTGTTCCGCTGTTTTTCCAGAACTCGGTTAACGTGAGAATTATCTGTGCATTAGATTTCATTAACTCCAATATGAATATACGCGGCTAAAACAACTGATACTAAAATCATACTCTTCAATCATTTACATTCTATATTCTTCTATTCCTTCTACATCTTTATAATATTAATAGTGTAAAAATTAGAGCTAAATCGTATTGCACTGAGGAAGATCGCTATAAAAACTTAAGGTTTATATAAGCCACTGAGATTTCAATGAGGGAGCGTCACATTCTATTTAACTAACTACTCGTTATTCCTAATTTAATGAATAAGCACGAGTTACGCATAAAAATATATAAAGTATGTTGTTTCTAATGTACAAAGATATCGAAGTATATATAAACACTATCAAGCATTTTGATCAAAATCTCTCATAAATAATTAACTTCCATAATGAAATTTAAATTCTTATAATTTCGTATTTCATATAGACAGTTATAAGTTTTGCAGAGGTTGGGAGAAAAGAAAATTTAATTTCATTAAACATCACGTTTATAAAAAGAATACTTAAAGGAATATTTATGTTTCATTATTTTTCCTTATAGAAATGGTGGTTAGGGCGCTCGCTCTTTCAGGTGAGGAATCATTATAATGTGACGGTCAATCCCACTATTAGTTGATAAATAGTAGCTCAAAATTAGGGGCGGCTAGCGCATATAGCCCTCGAATAGCTTTACGCGAACATTCAACGAATAAACAAATCCTTATAAAACTTATATTTGCATGGACTTTGTTCATGTTTTTATAAATAAATCAGTAGCAGGTTAAAGGTGCTAAACTGGTTTTGAATATAATTTTTAAAGGAAGGGGTGGGGAGGGAAGGAGGATATAGATTGGCTGGCCTTTGTAGTTTAGTGAGCTGTTCTTCTAACACCATTGTTGCTCAACTGTTAGTGCGCATATGAGGTCAATGACCGACCGGAAATACAGCTATGCGCACGATACTCGGTATTATTCCTTTGCGTTTGAAATGTGCAGAAAGACTCGTCTAAGCCTAGTGGCTCTTCTGAATGTAAACAAACACTGCTTTCTATCTCTGCTGGATTATATAACATAGTTAGTTTCGTACATCAGAGTATCAAAGTCATAGCTGCATTAAAAAATATCCCTTAACTGTGATCAAACATATTAAATACCCAACGTTTCGTACTTGCAGCTTCGCCAGGAACTCGACATCATACATTAGCACCACAGGCAAGTGGTCATTTTAATACAAAGTAATTTCAAAAATTATCATCTATGTTACATTAAATGCATAATTTCATGTATACTTTTATGCAATCGGTGCAGACCGCTCTGATTTTTGAGTCAATGTGAAACACCTTCTTGAAAATACTATGAAATTAAAATCAAATACAATACATTTTACTCACACTGGGGGAGTCTCCCGGTGACTTAGCGCTAAGCTTGGATATTTTAAACGTTAGAATTAGAGGCTCGATACCCGCAGGGACAGAGCGCAGATAACCTATTGTGCAGCTTTGTCTGAAACAAACAAACAAACAATATTTTGACCCGAGTGTGACCTAGTGGCTATAGCTTTTGGGTTCGATCCCGTGGCAATTACGGTCTGCATTTAATGTCTTAAAAATATTCCACAAGTTATTTAATAAAGCTGACTTTTCGCAAGCAACTGTAGCAAGTTGTAGTTCCAGTTCTTGTTGTTGTTGTTTTGTGTGTGAATTGGCAAACACTGATATCAAACAGGATTTCGACCTACTTGTTTATTTAGAGGGCTGACACTTTATTTAGCCAATTACGATACCACGTTTCGAGAACCATACTTAACAATTTCGGTTATTGAGAGTGTAATCTGAAAAGTCTCAGTGTTTGTTCACTTCTGCAGAAATATTTGTATTTAACAGGACGATGTGCCATGCTTGAAATAAGCATTTTCAGGTAAAAAGTGGAAATAAACTCATACTAAACTTTAGTTGCTTCAACTGCCCGGTGGACAGAGCTACGGATTTATTTATTTTTTATCTTGAATTGTTTTCAGTTTCCAGAAGAGTTCTCAGCTTGCCTGACGGTGGGACACTGTTACAGTTTAGTAGTTCTAGTTTTGTCTGTGCCAGAAAACCCTAAAAAACGTAATTAGAATTACAGTTGATCCCGCGTAATAATAGTTTTATAACTTAGGTTGTGGTTCGGGATTATTAGATTAACGCACAGGTAACTGGAACATTTTACATCACTATTTCATTCTGTTTTGTTTTTCGCATTTGAATTAATGATCTTTATATATCTCCAGTTTTCAATGAACACTAGTACATATTATCTTTTTTTTTGATATTCCGTGGATAAAAAAATTAGATATTAAAAGATGATAATGCTCGATATTCGTGTGATTTTAAAAGAAAGATCGGACGCTGCATGATGACGTGATGTACACGTGAGCTCGTGAAACATGTAGTACAGGTTGCCCAGTGAACACGCAGCTTCATTCTTTCCTGAGCTGTAGCCAGTAGACAGGCGGACTATATACGTTGGAGATGAACAGACGTAGAAGAGCACTTACTGAATTAGTTTTTCACACCCAAATGTGTTCCTTAAAGTAGGATAAATTATTGGGTTTATGTGATTCAAGAAGGCAGGTTCTGCCTCTTCAGTATGCGTCTGTGTGACACTTATGTCACCCACCGCCAGAACAATATCGTCCAGTGCTATTAAGCTATGAAATATGTTATATATGTATGTATGTGTGTGTGTGTGTGTGATAATTGTGTTTCTTTATGCTCTATGTCACGATTTCCCGTGCGCTATTAGCCTCTAATAGACGGCGCCGCTATGAAGTGAATTTTGTTTAGAATCTGCCTGTACTAGTCTGAAAGTGTCATTCACGCTTATACTCGATACTTTTCGAACGCTTGCAGATGCTCTGAAAATTACTCAGAATAGGCACAAACGCTGGGGAATCTGAGTAACCGTTCAGAGTAGGCATAAACTCTGAGGAGTCTGAGTAGGCACTCAGAGTAGACATAAACTCTGAGGTATCTGAGTAGGTACCCAGAGTAAGCACAAATTTTGAAGAAACTGAGTAGTCACTCAGGGTAAGCACAACTTTGAGAGATCTGAGTGATCACTTAAAGTTAGCACAAACATGACGAATCTGAGTATCACTCAAGAATAGGCACTAACTCTGAGGAATCTGACGATCTACAGTTGTTCTTCTAAATGGTTTGTGTTAAATGTGTTCTCCAGACTTAACATAAGAAGTAACATAGGTTCAACGGTTAGCTGATAAAAAAAATCCAAGAATGAAGTCGTATTATTATAAAACGCAATAAGTCGTTTCTCAACATGATAATTATTATTCTGACAAGTGTTACTGATTGGTTGAATTGAACGAGCTTCCGGCTAGGTTTAAACCAATTGAAAAACACGCTGTTGCTCTCAAGTTTTTAGCTTTTTGTGGGCTGGTAATTTATGTTTCCTTAGACTTATATGGTTCCATGTTTAAATAAACTTGATTCCTCTGATTACAGCGGATTATTACATACATATATAAGCTATTAAAGGAGTTATAATGTATACATGTTGTCTCTGTAGTGTGTAAAGAATTACAGTACCTATAGAACTTTTTGTTAGTGAAAAATTCACACTGTTGTTGAAAATGATTAGTTTTTTACCACAAACAAAACACTCATTCTAAATGTTACGAGAACTGTTGCAAGTTTCAGTACTATAATCAAATCACACTTTCGCCCCCTGGTGGCATTTCTCTTGATCTTACAACTGGTATTGCTCTGTATGTGAACGTTTTAGCTCGAGAATTAAACAAGAAGGGAAGCAAAGTATTCCCAGTCAATAAGGATGCTTTTACCCCTGAGTTATGGACTGGAAGTAATCCGTTTTCTGGATCAGATTCCTCCAAGACCAAGAACAGGAACGGAATATCATTGCCCAGATAATGAAGCTCACAGCCACAGGTAAGCATTAGTGAAAAACCGAGTTTCTTTAGTTTAAATATTTTACTCTGTCTAGCAAAAGCATGTGAAGGAATGGTAAAAAAAAATTAATTTTCTAACCTTTCTTACTACTCTAAAACTTGACAGACTTAGATTAACCGTAAAAACACAGTTAGGATATCTTACGAATAATAACACTTTTAAAAAGTTCATTACAACTTGATAGACTTAGATTAATCATAATAACACAGTTAGGACATCTTCCATAAAAACGCATTTAGAAAGTTTATTAAAACTCGATAGACTTAGATTAATAATAAAAACACAGTTGTGACATCTTAGGAATAAAAACACGTTTAGAAAGTTTATTACAACTTGATAGACTTAGATTAGTCATAAAACACAGTTATGATGTCTTAGGAATAAAAACATGTTTAGAAAGTTTATTACAACTTGACAGGCTTACATTAATACTAAAAGCACAGTTATGATAACTTAGGAATACAAACGCATTCAGAAAGTTTATTACAACTTGATAGACTTAGATTAATAATAAAAACACAGTTAGAACATCTAAGGCATCAAAACATTTAAAAAGTTTATTTAAACTTGATAGACTTAAATTGATCAATAGGTTTAGATTAATCATAAAACATAATTAGGTCATATTAGGGATAAAAACACATTTAAAAGTTGATAACAACTTGCTGGACTTAGATTAACGATAAAAACACATTTAAAAAGTTTTATTACAACTTAATTAACTTAGGTACAAATTGACGAGTTCAAGATTATTTTGAATTTCGTAAATATTTTGAGAGCTTGAGGTTACCTTAATCTAAAGAACACATATTTTTACGTTTTCTGTTCTACGCAAATTTAATGTGCGAAATTTGTTTGTTTGTTTTGGAATTTGCACAACGCTACACAATAGTTATTTGAGATAAACTAAAGAGAAGGTATATAGTCTTGGGTTGCTCTAATCAAATAGTGAGATTTGACCTGTACTCTTGTAATATCCCAACGGGACGCGAACCATGGATCCTCATTGGCAGAGATCGGCAAGTCAACAACTACGTTACGTTCGGTTTAGTCACTTAAATAAGTATGACCAACCTACGAGATTTGCACTTAATGCACTGTTAGCCTCGTTTCTTCTGAAAAAATTAACTTGACAACTACACTTTATATCACCATTATCTCGCTTTCCTCGAAAACCATCTGTTACCAAACTGGAGTAGAATTTCAAAGAAACTGAAAAAGCTTCCTTATCAGCGCGTGAATATGATCAGTGTAAGAAATAACAAAAGAAGAAGATACGTATAACCTTTTACGAAGAACACGAATACAAGTTAGTTCACATTCCGTCTCTCACGAAAGATAGACCGAAGATTATTTAGAATAAACGATACATATTTTTTGTATTGATTAATGACTTTAACGATATAACGTTTTATCTACAACAACATAGGACGTGAACACACTTTCAGTTTGAAACTTATGAACGGAAGTATTTCTGTGCGCAGGGCGCTTGTGACTTAGTGTTCATTGTTCTTCTGCTAACTATAAAGAAAACATATCGTAGTGGGGTACTTTTTTCTAAAGGATTATT